ATACATGTATAAAAATTTTAATATTATCAATGTATAATTTTGATTTTTCTAAATACATTGATAGATTTTATTTTTTAATTAAAAATTGGAAATTTCCAAAATTTTATTTAGTTTCAATTTTGAAGCAATTTTTTTTTAAAAGAAATGGAATCAAATTTTAGAAATCTAAATGAGAAAAAAAATGTTCTAAAATGTAAAAAAATGAATGGGAAACGGCAAAAAAAAATAAAAATAACCCTGTTAGTAATTTCATCCTCACCACTAGTCTTTAATTTGATTTATATTGCAATTGAATATATGTGTTTGACTTAATTTTAACACATAATTCAAATTTTATATAAATAAAATATTTTTGCATAAATTCCCCACATATTGAAGAAAACATGCACCAAACCCCCCCCTCTTGTTATGAAAAACTTGCATGTAATTCCCTAAATAGCTAATTGTGTTAATTATTAACGTAATGGGAGATTTTATGCAAGAGAAAATAAAAAAAGGAAAATTCTACGCAATAAAATTAACACAGAGGGGTTTGGTACATGCTTTCCATAACACATGGGAGTTTTATGCTGTTTACCCATATTTTTTGGGGGCAATACTTTTGTCTCACTATAATAATTTAGTTGAGATATTCTGCGATGTTCATTGACTTCCAACAATGGATTGAAAAAGATCCGAAAGGAAAATCTGCATATACCTTTCCTAATATGTTTATTCCGACATACCTATTACATCTCCTTTACTTTACGGTGGAGCCCACAATTTCACTATACAAAATTTCATAGGATTCAGCAACACTTCTTCTCCTCGTCAGACTACGTGCTAAAGAATTCAATCTTGGTCGGTAGTCGTTTTGGTGGTGATAATTTTTGACAAATATTTTTGATGTTTTTGTAGGTTTTTTTATAGTGCATTTGGTTAATTTTGAATTTTTTTTGTGTTTTCAATAGTGAAACACCTGGTTTTTGTAGTTTTTGTAGATTGATTTGGTGACACTTGAGAGTTGAGGGGTTCAATTATTTCAACGGTGTTTATAGTGTATTACATTAATTTTGTAGTGAATTAATTAATTTCTAGTGGATTGCGGTAGGTTTTTAGTTGATTTTGATATAAGTGGAATGGTTTTTTTATTTCAAAAAGGAATTTTCGGTGGTGGATAATGTTAATTTTGTAGTGGATTACGTTAATTATTTTAGTGAATTCAATATTTTTGTTGTTGATTTTGATGAGCTAGATTGTGGTGGATTCGAAAATTCTTGCATTCAAAACGGATTACATTTGTTGAAGTTTGAATTACATTAATTTTGTAGTGGATTGCTTTAATTATGTAATGAATTACGTTAATATCATAGTGAATTGTGTTAATTTTCTTTTGTTTAGGTTTTTGTGAGCAGGAGACGTGAGGCGACGGGGTGACTAGGTTGGGAAATTCTAGGGCAACTGTACATAAGAGTGGATTTACATTTCCAATAGGGGATTTACGTTTCGAATAGTGGATTTACGTTCTTTTTTTGTTTCTTATTATTTCAGTTGTATTAGTCGTGGATTACGTTCATTCGTAGTGGATTATGTATGTTTTTAGTGGATTTCGATAAGTTTGTTGTGCAGTATATCGATACTATAGTGGATTACGTTAATTTCACAGTGATTTTTACGGTAATGTTTATAGCGATTTTTGATCATTTTATAGTAGTTTTCGATGATTATATGGTGGATTTTAATTTTCGTAATCCATGTGAACTAATAATAAAAACATTACCTAAAAATGAAATAAAAAAGAAAAAAAATTGGGGGTTGAAAACCACTTTTTAAACCTGATGGAAAAAACGTAAAATAAATAAAAAGTTAAAATATCATATTTTTTTGGAGAAAATCTTAGAAAAAGAATTGTTGGAGATATTTTTGGAAGAGAATATAATAGGAGAATTTTAGATAATTTGAGTTAAATAAATTTATATCAAATTTGGAATTAAAAATTAGATCACTTATGATAAAACGGATTTCACTAAGATCATCTTCAATAGAAAGATGGGTGGGTAGGGGTGGAGAGGCAAAACCACCTCCATTGGAGATGAGTAATGAGGGGTGGGTATGGGTTGGGAGAAGGCGTAGGGAGAGAAGCCCTTGGTAGGGGTGGGAACGAGCCGAGCTCGGCTCTTTTGGTCAGCTCGAGCTCGAGCTCATCGAGCCAAATTTTTTTGGCTCGAGCTCGAGCTCGAGCCAATTTTGGCGAGCTCGAGCTCGAGCTTATTTAATTTTTTTTTTATTTTTTATTTTTTGTTTTTTTATTAAAATCATTTTTTTTATTAAAAAATATTCATAGGAAAATAAAAAAAATTATAAAATAAATAATGAACTCTAGTTATATATATATATATATATATTTGTTTTTCTATTATTATTATTATTATTATTATTATTATTATTATTATTATTATTATTATTATGGTTATTATTATTATTATTATTATTATTATTAGTATTCTTATTATTATTATTATTATAATTATTATTATTATTATTATTATTATTATTATTATTATTATTATTATTATTATTATTATTATTATTATTATTATTATTATTATTATTATTATTATTATCATCATTATTATTATTATTATTATTATTATTATTATTATTATTATTATTATTATTATTATTATTATTATTATTATTACTATTACTATTACTACTACTACTATTATTATTATTATTATTATTATTATTATTATTATTATTATTATTATTATTATTATTATTATTATTATTATTATTATTATTATTATTATTATTATTATTATTATTATTATTATTATTATTATTATTATTATTATTATTATTATTATTATTATTATTATTATTATTATTATTATTATTATTATTATTATTAAATTGGGCATTATGCTAATAAATGTTGGGTTAAGAAAAAACTCAACACTTTAGAGATTGATAATGATCTCAAAGAGACTCTTAGTAAGTTACTTCTTTATTTTGATTCTGAAGAAGAAGTGACTATGGAAGGGCTAAAAGCCCTGGAAAAGAGAATAGTTCTTCTGATAGTGAAGATTGTGAGCCTTGTAGAAATGGTTTAATCTGTGAAAAGGAGGATAGCTCCGACCCTGAAGAAGGTAATAATAACCTTTATCAAATTATTTCACAATTTTAAGAAATTAATGTTCTTAATAATGATAATCTCATAGAGATTTTAAGATCTGTTAAAGATCCTGAAATTCGGTCTAAAATTCTCGATCTTTTAGGAGAAAAAGATCCTCCAAGCAAACCCAATGATTTTGCTCAAAAATCTTCAGATCCATATACTATGGCTGAAGTAAAAAGAATGTTAAAACAAAAGCAAGTTGATAAAACCTCAACTAATGCTAATGATTTAATAATTGAGATTTATAATCTCATAAATGAGATCAAAAGTTTGAAAAGTTTTAATGAAAACCTTGAATAAAGAGTTTTTAAACTTGAAAGTTTTAATAAAGGAAAACAAGCTCTTATTAATTTTGATTGCCAAAATGCTCTCCCTGAAGATGATAGTTTCTTATGAACTTTATAAATGGTAACTTCCCATAATTGGTTTATAAAAATCTCTATTCTTATTGATCATGATTATCAAAAAAGATTTTATAGTACTTGTTGATAGTGGTGCAGATTTAAATTGCATTTAGGAAGGAATTATTCCTACAAAATACTTTGATAAAACAACCCATTCTTTAAGTTCTGCAAATTGTCAGAAAATGGAAATTAATTTTAAGCTTCCAAAAAACGTTTATTTGCAAAAATAGAGTTTGCATCCCCACTAGTTTCTTACTAGTAAAAAATATCACTAACCAAATTATACTAGGAACCCCTTTTTTAAAGAAAATCTTTCCAATTAAAAGGATTGATGAACAAGGTTTCATAAGAACCTTTAATGGCAAAGAAATTAATTTTCATTTCATCACTGAACCATTTACTAGAATTCTGAAGCAGATAAAAGATTCTTTTATAAAGAATAAAGAAAATCGAATTAATTTTCTTAAACAAGAGATAAGTGTTTTAAATATTGATGAAACTCTTCAAAATCCTAAATTGCAGGATAAGATAAAACTTCTTAATAATCAGCTTTCTTTACAAATTTGTAATGATCATCCAAATGCGTTTTGGGCTAGAAAAAAATATATTGTCTCACTTCCTTATGAAGATAATTTTGATGAGAAAAAAATACCGACTAAAGCCAGACCTTGTCAAATGAATAAGGATTATCTTGAGCTATGCAAAAAGGAAATTGAAACTTTGCAAAATAGAGGGTTAATATGACCCTCAAAATCTCCATGGTCTTGCACAACTTTCTATTTTAATAAACATGTTGAGCAAGAAAGAGGTGTTCCGATGTTAGTCATTAACTATAAACCTTTGAACATTGCTTTAAAATGGATTAGATACCCAATTCCTAATAAGAAGGATTTACTTGATAGCCTTCATGATGCTTTAATTTTTTCAAAATTTGATTTAAAATCTGGATATTGGCAAATCCAAATCCATGAAAAAAATATTTATAAAACAACTTTTAATGTTTCATTTGGTCAATATGAATGGAAAGTTATGTCTTTTGGCCTGAAGAATGCTCCTTCAGAATTTCAAAATATTATGAATGATATTTTTAACCCTTATAGTGATTTTATCATTGTTTATATCGATGATATTTTGGTATTTTCTAAAAATATTGAAACCCATTTTAAACACTTGGACATTTTCAAGAAAATTGTTACTCAAAACGGTTTAGTTATATCTAAACCTAAAATGCAACTTTTTCAAGCACAAGTGAGATTTCTTGGTTATAATATTGAAAAGGGGAAAATTATCGGGTTAATAGCATTTTGCCATCTGGACTTTGCCCGTTTTTGCACTTTGCCACCTTAACTAAAAAAAGTTACAAGTCCCCACCCAAACTCAGTTTTTTGACGCACATAACCACCTAAGGGGAATATTCCGCGAATATTCTCATTGTACAACGCACGCGCGATGCACATGCGAAAGTACAAGGGTTTTTTCGTCTTTTCACCTCAAAATATCATAAGAGGGTGAAATTGAAAGTAACAGGGACTCAATTGAACTTAATTTGCAACTTTAACAAATTTGAAATTAATTGAAGCTTTGTGGCTTCATCTTCCATGGGATAAAAACACCCTTTTCTGACGATTACTTGCCAATTTCATTGCTTAGCCAAATTGGTCAATACATGAAATCAATATAAAGCATTGGAAACCCAAAATAAAAAAATAAAAAACTTACAGCAGCATTCCACTCGTAGATAGATAAAAACCAAGAGGACCTGAAGCTGGCAAAGATGATGCGAGAACTTGAATAACTGTTGATACAGCCTGATGAGGGGTAAAATAGTAACAAATGCATTAATGATTTTCCTTCGACTATGTAAAGTTTAGCACAGACATTCATCAATTCTAAAAGGAGAAGAATAAGTTGCAATGCAAATTCAATACAAAAAGGACCGAGCCGTGTTGCAATTGGTGTTAATTTTTTACCATGCCAAAGAAGCTCCAGAGGAGAAGGGCCTTTCGTCCTAGTTTATCCATTAACACCAACGCAATAAAAGAACCTGTATATCATTAATTATATGTACTCATGAATACACAAGCTGAAACAAAAGATGCTTTCAAAACTTAAATCAGAAATGCCTAGGGGAAGAAACTAATAATAATAATAATAATAATTATAATAATTATAATTATAATAATTATAATTATTATAATTATAATAATTATAATTATTATAATTATAATAATTATAATAATTATAATTATAATAATTATAATTATAATTATAATAATTATAATTATAATAATAATAATTATAATTATAATAATAATAATAATAATAATAATAATAATAATAATAATAATAATAATAATAATAATAATAATAATAATAATAATAATAATAATAATAATAATAATAATAATAATAATAATAATAATAATAATAATAATAAAATTAAATTAAATTAAATTTGGTGAGAACCATATACAAATATTTCGAAGACTGTACATGGATGTTTTTACAGAATTAAAAACTGTCAAGGGATTTAGTTCTTAACCAGTCATGGAGGCAAGCCCTAAAAAAAAACGCCGAAGACATGGCAACAAAGTGGGCGAATCCAGACTTCGGTGTTAAACCTAATCCCTGCCTGTTTTTAATTCAAACCATACCAGACATCGAAATCTTTGTTCATGGTATCAGATCTTAGTATCATGATATTATTCAACAAGAACTTAGCCGGCCATATAGGCGGCGATACAGAAAATAAAATTTAAAATACAAAACAAGAATTAAAAAGAAGAGTAAGAACTTACTGAAGAGCCCACAAGTATGATACAGAAAACTTTAAACTTCTTCGGGAATTTTCAAAGAAAATTATTTAGAGAATTCTTAATATCTAAACTTCTGCTTAAAACAAGAAAAGAGCTCCTTTATATAGAGGAGTGAGGAATAAAAAAAAAAAAAAAACAACAAACAAAACAAGACAAAATAATACATTGCTTTATAAAAGCATCTGCTTTATTAAAGTGTCGTTTTTTGAAAAAGCAGATTCCCTAAACCATTATGAAGGGTGGTAGGGACCCGAACTCAATTATTTCTCCACTCTCTCTTTCCCTTTGGCTGTAGTGGAACTTTGAATTTGTTCCGTAATTGATTGTTTGACATTATTGATGATATCATCAATTGAAATATCTGCTTCGTTTCCATATGGATCTTGTGATTCACCCGGATTGCAATAATCCTCAACATCATGTGAAGAGGTAGCCATGGATATGTCAGAATGATATTCAATTCCAAAATTTCTGACCAAGTCTTTTTTGACTTCTTCCATATAAGAGGCAATTAATTCTTTGTCGGTCATTTGTCCTTTGTGGAAATTTAATTTCCTTAAAAGATGTTGAAACGGGCTGGGGGCTTCCCTTTGCTGCTTCAACTGGATCTGCTCTTTATATTGTTGAATATGATCTTGGATCTTATCAATAGTTTCTTGTCCCTCAATGACACCATGCTCATTTTTTCTGAGCATTCTTTTCCAAAATTTAGTGTAAGTGGCCCGTTTTAAACAAGGTATATTTTGTGGGGTATGACCCAATTCTGGTTCCCATTTCCAGATCCATGGAATACCAAACTCAATAAAGAAGTGTAAAAAGGGCATTCCCTCAATCCACTTATTAGTGTGTTCGGCTTCAATAAGAGTTGGTGAAATTTTCACCCATTCTGCATAGAGACCCTTATAAGGTTCTGGTAAAATTTTTACAGTCGGGCCAAAAGATAGCCACCATTGGTATAACCAGTTTGGGATGTCCTTCTTATAAACATTAGGACAAATTTTGAAGAACCAAGTATGTTTCCTTACTGGGTTCTCATATAAAAAAGCTTTATTAAAGGCTTCAACATAATCCCAATAATTGTACTTAACCTGGATTTTTTGGTCAGGTCTGAAATATTCTTTTTCTCCTAGGGTACTTAACCCCCATTCTTCTGCAGATATTATCTGTTTAATAATTACTTTGCTGAAGCTATAAGCTTGTGTATTTTTCCCTGGATAAAAGTGTGAAAATTCACAGGAGCTAGTAGCTTTTAGAATATTTTCATAATGAGTTCGCTGTTTATATGAACCAGCAGTAAATGATGCCGTATTAAGATAACGATTCATAAGGTGCCATATTTCACCTTTCCATCGAAGATCTTTATCTTCTAAGAGTAATATTACCTCTTTGCATGTATTCTGCTCATAGGGTAAATCATCAGATTCTACCTCATCCTCCAGGACATCAAAGTATTACTTGAAGAGGATGATGTAATATTGGCACCATGCTTTGCTTTGAATCTTTGATTCCCATGTTGGGCAATTGTCCGTCCTCCTCTTCCTCTATAAGAGGAATTTCCTCGACCACGGTGGCTCATCCTGGAAATATAAAATGATCAAGCTATTAGCTGTTTATTAAGAAGTAGTATATGGACTATAGTCCATTCGCCAATCAACCTTTTCGAGAATATTATCTCTTTCCCTGTAAATAGACATTTCATTCTGGTTGCCCATGTTTGATCATTCATCATTGTAAATATTCACGGGTTAAGAAGTCAGGAAGATTATTTTCAGTTCCTTTTTTATAAATTATATCAAAATCAAAAGGGGCTAATTGGGCTTGCCACCTTGCAAACATTTGTTTGGAAACATCATGTTTAAAATCTTTTTTAAACATATATTTTGCTGCTTGGCAATCAGTCTTAATTATAAATTTCTGGTTATATAAATCATCTTGAAATTTTAAAACACACTTGAGAATAGCTAAAATTTCCTTAGCTATAGTAGCATAATTCTTTTGACTACTATTCCGTTTTCCTGAATGGAATCTAACAAGATATTCTTGTTTGTCATTTGGAGAAACCTGTTTAAGGATACCTCCGTAACCTATCTCTGAGGCATCAGTCTCAATAATTTTTTTCCAATTTGGGTTAGCTAACATGAGACAAGGAAGATTAGTGACTTTGTTCTTAATTTTCTGAACAGCATGGGTATGACTCTCAGTCCAAGGCTTTGGATTTTTCTTAAGTCTATCATATAGGATAGCAGTATCCTGAGCAAGATTTTTAATATAGGGGGATATATAATTTAAACTTCCTAAGAATCTTTGAAGCTGAGTTTTATCTGTCAGCTGGTCAGGGAATTTAGAGGCAAATACAATACTTCTATTAATAGGGATAATTTTTCCTTTTTCAATATTATGACCAAGAAATCTAACTTTTGTTTGAAAAAGTTGCATTTTAGGTTTAGATATAACTAAACCGTTTTGAGTAACAATTTTCTTGAAAATATCCAAGTGTTTAAAATGGGTTTCAATATTTTTAGAAAACACTAAAATGTCATCGATATAAACAATGATAAAATCACTATAAGGATTAAAAATATCATTCATAATATTTTGAAATTCTGAAGGAGCATTTTTCAGACCAAAAGGCATAACTTTCCATTCATATTGACCAAATGGAAGATTAAAAGCTGTTTTATAAACATCTTTTTCATGAATTTGGATTTGCCAATATCCAGATTTTAAATCAAATTTCGAAAATATCAAGGCATCATGGAGCCTATCAAGTAAATCCTTCTTATTAGGAATCGGATATCTAATCCATTTCAATGCAGTATTCAGAGGTTTATAGTTAATGACTAACCTGGGAACACCTCTTTCTTGCTCAACATGTTTATTAACATAGAAAGCTGTGCAAGACCATGGAGATTTAGAGGGTCTTATTAACCCTTTATTTTGCAAATTTTCAATCTCTTTTTTGCAAAGCTCAAGATACTCCTTATTCATTTGACAAGGTCTTGCTTTAGTCGGTATTTTTTTCTCATCAAAATTATCCTCATAAGGAAGTAAGACAATGTGTTTTTTTCTATCCCAAAATGCATTCGGATGATCATTACAGATTTGTAAAGAAAACTGATTATTAAGAAGTTTTATCTTATCCTGCAATTTAGGATTTTGAAGAGTTTCATCAACATTTAAAATACTTATCTCTTTTTTAAGAAAATTAATTTGGTTTTCTTTATTCTTTATAAAAGAATCTTTTATTTGATTAAGAATTCTAGTAAATGGTTCGGTAATGAAATGAAAATTAATTTCTTTGCCATCATAGGTTCCTATAAAACCTTGTTCATCAATTCTTTTAATTGGAAAGATTTTCTTTAAAAAAGGGGTTCCAAGTATAACTTGGTTAGTGATATTTTTTACTAGTAAAAAACTAGTGGGGATGCAAACTTTATTTTTGCAAATAAACGCTTTTGGAAGCTTAAAATTAATTTCCATTTTCTGACCATTTGCAGAACTTAAAGAATGGGCTGTTTTATGAAAGTATTTTGTAGGAATAATTCCTTCCTGAATGCAATTTAAATCTGCACCACTATCAACAAGTGCTATAAACTCTTTTTTATAATCATGATCAATAAGAAGAGAGATTTTTATAAACCATTTCTGGGAAGTTACCATTTCTAAAGTTCCTAAGAAACTATCATCTTCAGGAAAAGTATTTTGGTAATCAAAATTAATAAGGGGTTGTTTTCCTTTATTAAAACTTTCCAATTTAAAAACTCTTTCTTCAAGGTTTTCATTAAAGCTTTTCAAACTTTTGATCTCATTTTTGAGATTAGAAATCTCAATTATTAAATCATTAGCATTAGTTGGGGTTTTATCAACTTGCTTTTGTTTTAACATTCTTTTAACCTCAGCCATAGTATATGGATCTGAAGTTTTTTGAATAAAATCATCGTGCTCGTTTGGAGGATCTTTTTCTCCTAGAAGATCAAGGATTTTTGATCGGATTTCCGGATCTTTAACAGATCTCAAAATTTCTATGAGATTATCGTTATTAAGAACATTAATTTCTTGAAATTGTGAAATAATCTGATATAGGCTATTACCTTCTTCTGGGTCGGAGCTATCCTCCTTTTCACAGATTAAGCCATTTCTACAAGGCTCACAATCTTCACTATCATAAGAGCTATTCTCATTTTCCAGGGCTTCAAGCCCTTCCATAGGCACCTCTTCTTCTTCAGAATCAGAATGAAGAAGTAATTTACTAAGAGTTTCTTTTAGGTTA